AAGACCAACGAAGGTTTATTCAAGGTATGAGCTTTCGTGTGCAAGGCACACTTTTTCAAATACATTGGAATGGAAGATGAGGTTCTGAACTTATAGACAAGGATTTAAGAGCAAATTACCATGTAACATGATGATATAGTTTTAAGTTATGCAAAGTGAAAAAACTAGAGGACAAGCTCAACAGTTGTAAAGCAATACATATGTCAAAACAGCAGATAAATGTGTAAAGGTGTTATTTCTAATTGTGGGAAGTAGCCCTCCATGCTTGAGAGGAGACAATTAAGATTCTGTTACTTTCCACAATTAGAAATCAGGGCCCTGCGGGATCTTGTGCAATTTCACAGGACCTGTAAGACGGAGCTCTTCCACCAGGCCTTCAATTAGGAGCCGCCACCGTTACCATCAATGTCCGCAACTAATATCTGTGGTATAAGTCCAGCCTAACCGACACTGCGTTAGAATCTTGGGTGCGATATTATATGGCACGCCGATGTGATTTAATATTAAATTGTTTAACTGGTTTTAATTGTTTTATATGAATTTGGTGCACTATGCCAAATATTGTTAGCCGCCCTGAGCCTGCTCGCGGGGAGGGCGGGATATAAATGTAATAATAAATAAATAAATAAAAGTCCTGAGCTTTCGACACCTATCAAACACATCTCTTCGAAGACACCTTCTCCTCAAAGATTCGACAGTAGATGACTCTTTCTCATACCTTCTTTTACTGTCCAAAGCATGATATAACCAGAGAAAAATTTAGGAGAAAATGGCTACAAAAATATTCAGCCTTCTCTGACGATTTAAGATTAAGATTACTTTTCAACAGTCTTTGTAAATGTTGTATTGTGGACGTGGCAAATTTCTATTATACGGTTGTTTTTAATTCTGAAATTGCGTTTTCCTTTTGCAGAGCATGGCCCATGGGCTGTTAAATAGAATGACATTGAAACTGATTTAACCTTTACAACTATCTTGCAAGATAGGTTAGCCTGAAGCTTTGACTGGCTAAAACACATCCCAAGAGCTTCCAGTCCTACTGTGGATTTGAACTCAGATCCCACCAAGCCATAACCCAATACCCTGGCTTTTGAACTTAACTGACCCACATAATGAATGAGGGCAAAAGGTGCGAATCTCAAGCATCTGGAAGAGGGTATCTTATTTAGAATTTTTTACACGGTTGCCACACTTACTTTTGATACATTGAATGAAGTCCAACTCATCCAAAACCCCACACCACAAGCACAGAAAACATAAAGTCTGGTTTACCTGATACGAATAATAAAAATATCTTTAATGAGCGGTGACTCTTCCTTAGCTCAGTTTTGTTTTCTCTGACTCAGAAAGAAACACCTAATCTGGGGCTGCCAACTGCCTGGAGAAAATTTTATGCAGTCCCTTTAACAAAGGAATTATGGGATGTTATTTATTCTTCCTTAGCTCAGTTTTGTTTTCTCTGACTCAGAAAGAAACACCTAATCTGGGGCTGCCAACTGCCTGGAGAAAATTTTATGCAGTCCCTTTAACAAAGGAATTATGGGATGTTATTTATCTCTTCAGATACCCTTTTCCACACACTCAGCGTCTGCGAATGAGGCTGGATATTTTCCCCCCTTCAGGCCTATCACCAACGCTAATGCTATGCCTCTCCAAAATAAAGTAGGGAGACGGGAAGGACAATTTTCTTGTTATAGAGGCGCTTTCCTATAAGGCCTAAATGTACCTTTCTGTACTGGTAGAGTTTTGTGTTCCACAGAGGAAGAGAATGGTTTGTGTCTCACAGAAAGTGGTGTCTCAGAGTAGCCTTTCACTCTGACGAAAACCAACAGCTAGAAAGGGATAGACAAGACTCTTGGCTGGTCATCACGGCCTGTATTTATATCTAGGCCTAATGAAGTTTTGTCCAGAGTACTTCTGCAAGATCGTGAAATATAAACAGGATGAGTGTCTAAGTAGCAATTTATAACCACAATATTGTTACCAACAGAATCACTGCCAAAATTGGGGCAACAACAGAAACTGCTGCCAGAGGTTTCTGGCAAGGCTTACTGGGAAAGGACTGGGCATAGGAGAATAAGATTTGAGGTACCTTAAGACCAATGCTCCCTCTAGGCTACGGAGTCATGGGAACAAAAATTCTACTTTGTGAGCGAGCGATTTAGCTGCTGCATAAATTAGTTTGCTCTGTAGCCATCCTTCCTGAGCTAAGACAGAAATGTGTGAGCCGGAGGCTAAAAAACGGTGAGCTAGCTCACACTAACTCAGCTTAGAGGGAACATCGCTTAAGGCCCTGGCAAAATACCCTACAGGTAGGCAAGGGGCGGCTTGTAGGAGGAAATGGAAGCATCCCTGAAAGCTATACAGTATTGATCTGCTTTAGCTTAACTCAGCCTGAAAGGGACTTTTGCCAATGAAGAGAAACATTCTCTTGGAAAGTCCCTGAAACATTTTTCCGACAAATACCCCAATGTTCCCAAATAAACATGAGAAAATACGGCTGTTTGGTTTTCACAGAAGGTCCTGGGGTGGGGCGGGGAGAAGTTCTTGGAACAGAATGAAAGGCACACAGAGGCTGCGGTCAGGCAACAAACTTGGCACAGTCTGGGCATACCTCTAAGTGCACTGGTTTAAGTTGGAGTGGGAAGGATCAGTCAGACCGCACACCCTGAGGCAGCGTGCCCGCACACTTGTACTCTGGTCAATAGTCCACATTAGTGCTGTGCCTCAACCATGAAGCGCGCTGTCCAGGTGGCTTTCTTTAAAAATATGGGTGCCCATGTGCATGCGCACATAGCCAACTGGTTAAAAAAAAGTGGAAATCGATCTGACTGTTTGCACTTCCTGACCGGCTTCAGTTCACAACAGAGAAGTTCAGACATCCGGAAATGCGGGGTTAGAGCGCTGACATTTGTAAACAACTGGGGACTGGGAGGATCATGTTGCTGTCTGATCGTGCTCTTTAAACCCGCAAGGGAACCACAATGACATTGGTGCAATCTGCTCGTCTGACCGCAGCCACAGACACCAAAATCTCCAGTCTCTTTGCGTACTGATATGATTCAATAGTTTATTCACATACAGATGCAAACTGAGACTATTTTTTTCCACATAAGCATATACAGATTAATATTATATGACAAACACACTAGGCAGTATTCATAGTTATATGATAAATACATTATGCAGTATTTATACTAGAAGCTTTCATGTTAAGAACATTAGTTTTATACTACGAACATTTCATCAGGAAGAGGAACCAGTAATAGAGAGAGACTGGAATAATTGTTACAAAGGGATAACTGTATGTGGCCATTAACTGGGAATGTGTTAGAAGCTATCATAACTCTCCGAAGCTAATATAACTGTTATAAAGGTCTGGTCTCAAAATGGACTGTTATAGGGATCTGGTTCCAGAGTGGATGGTGGCAGGAACTAGTGTCACCAGAACAGCCAAGTTCAGGAAATCCCCAACTTGATCCGGAGAGCTGAAATGTCCTTGGGAGAAGAAGGCTGATGTGTGCTTCTGCCATGAATAACTAGAGATCAATTGAGCCAGCAACTGGAGATAGAGAGCAATTGCCAGCCAATATAAAACAAGAAGGCTTCTAGATAGATATATATATATAAAAAAGGACTGATTGTTACTTTCAGAAATAAATTAATCGGCTTGCTCCTAGTTTAAATTCTTCAAATGGAACTCGAAGATAATTTGAAGAAAACAGAAAAGAAGTTAAGCTTTAATAATTTGAAAATGGAATCAAATGATAATTTAAAGAAAATTCAAAAGAACTTAAGCTGTAAAAATTTGAAGAAAGTAAAAAAGAGGTAACATTGCATAAAGAGGCTGACACCTTTTAATATAATAGGATTACTCCTGAGGAAGATTGGTGAAATGAGTGTATAACCGGTTGCTCACTGAGAATAATGGACTTTTCCTTGAAAATGTTAGGGTTTCTCCGCTGTCTGGGATCTTTGATGCTGCTGAAGAGAAGCACTCAACCTGAATCTCTTTCCACACTCAGAGCATTCAAAAGTTTTCTCTCCTGTGTGGGTTCTTTGGTGCTTCTGAAGAGTACAACTCTGACTGAATCTCTTTCCACACTCAGAGCATTCAAATGGTTTCTCCCCTGTGTGGATTCTTCAGTGGTTCCAAAGTGTACCACTCTGACTGAATCTCTTTTCACACTGAGAGCATTCAAAAGGTTTCGCCCCTGTGTGGGTTCTTTGGTGCTTTTGAAGAGTACCACTCTGACTGAATCTCTTTCCACACTCAAAACATTCAAATGATTTCTCCTCCGTGTGGGTTCTTTGGTGCTGCTGAAGAGTACAACTCCGACTGAATCTCTTTCCACACTCTGAGCATTCAAATGGTTTCTCCCCTGTGTGGACCCTTTGGTGCACTTGAAGATGGTTCCTCTGACTGAATCTCTTTCCACACTCAGAGCATTCAAAAGGTTTCTCCCCTGTGTGGACCCTTTGGTGTAGCTCAAGAAGGGCACTCAACCTGAATCTCTTTCCACACTCAGAGCATTCAAATGTTTTCTCTCCTGTGTGGGTTCTTTCGTGCTTCTGAAGACTACAATTCCGACTGAATCTCTTTCCACACTCAGAGCATTCAAATGGTTTCTCCCCTGTATGGACCCTTTGGTGGTTCCTAAGTGTACCACTCTGACTGAATCTCTTTTCACACTGAGAGCATTCAAAAGGTTTCTCCCCTGTGTTGGTTCTTTGGTGCTTTTGAAGAGTACCACTCTGACCGAATCTCTTTCCACACTCAAAACATTCAAATGATTTCTCCTCCGTGTGGGTTCTTTGGTGCTGCTGAAGAGTACAACTCCGTCTGAATCTCTTTCCACACTCAGAGCATTCAAAAGGTTTCTCCCCTGTGTGGACCCTTTGGTGCACTTGAAGATGGTTCCTCTGACTGAATCTCTTTCCACACTCAGAGCATTCAAAAGGTTTCTCCCCTGTGTGGACCCTTTGGTGCAGCTGAAGAAGGGCACTCAACCTGAATCTCTTTCCACACTCAGAGCATTCAAAAGGTTTCTCCCCTGTGTGGGTTCTTTGGTGCTTCTGAACACCGCTGCTCTGACTGAATCTCTTTCCACACTCTGAGCATTCAAATGGTTTCTCCCCCGTGTGGATTCTTCGGTGCTGCTGAAGAGTACCACTCTGACTGAATTTCTTTCCACATTCAGAGCATTTAAAAGGTTTCTCCCCCATGTGGATTCTTCGGTGCTGCTGAAGAGTACCACTCTCACTGAATTTCTTTCCACACTCAAAGCATTCAAAAGGTTTCTCCCCTGTGTGGATTCTTCGGTAGTTCTAAAGATGGCACCTCACACTGAATCTCTTTCCACACACAGAGCATTCAAATGGTTTCTCCCCTGTGTGGGTTCCTTGGTGGTTCTTAAGAGTGCCACTCTCACTGAATCTCTTTCCACACTCTGAGCATTCAAATGGTTTCTCCCCCGTGTGGGTTCTTTCGTGGTTCTGAAGATGAAACCTCACACTGAATCTTTTTCCTCACTCATAGCATTCAAATTGTTTCTCTCCTGTGTGGGTTCTTTGGTGCTGCTGCTGATGACTGCTCTGACTGAATCTCTTTCCACACTCTGAGCATTCAAATGGTTTCTCCCCTGTGTGGACCCTTTGGTGCACTTGAAGATGGTTCCTCTGACTGAATCTCTTTCCACACTCAGAACATTCAAATGGTTTCTCCCCCATGTGGGTTCTTTTGTGGTTCTGAAGAGTGCCACTCTCACTGAATCTCTTTCCACACTCAGAGCATTCAAATGCTTTCTCCCCCGTGTGGGTTCTTTGGTGCTGCAGAAAATTGCCACTCTGACTGAATCTCTTTCCACACTCTGAGCATTCAAAAGGTTTCTCTCCTCTGTGTATTCTTTGGTGCACCAGGAGCTTTGATCTAATTCTGAAATTAATTGCCTTCATTATCCTATCCTTTGGAAAATGTACATTACACTGTGTTCCGTCTCTGTTTTCAATCATCTGGCTGCCTTTGTTTTTCTTAGGTCTGCCTCGTTTCTTGATGTTGTCTTTCAGGTCTTCCTTTTCAACTCTTTCTGGCATTTGTGGATGAAGTTCCTCACCCTCCTCATTCCTCTTATTATTTTCTGCTAGAATAAAGAGAGAGATCCTGTTAGCATTTGGGATGGCCGGTAAGTCTAATGACTGCATTAGAAAAGGATTGCTGGCCCTTTAGCCTTCTTCACATTTCCCCAGAAAACCTAGTATTAAAGGATACCTCACCCTCTCAAGAGCCTACTGAGATACAGGAATATAAAAATCTACGCCACGTGGAAAAGAATGGAAGGAATGAAGACAGGAAGAAAATTGTATTCAGTGTTATTGCAATGTGTAAAATGTGTAAGAAGCTTGTTACTAGATAGTTCTAGGTAGTTACTTGACCAGGGGTATAAATGATGTTTTGACTTGGAATGTGTGAATCTTTTTCCACACTCAGAGCATTCAAATGATTTCTCATCCGTGTGGGTTCTTTGGTGGTTCTGAAGACGGCACCTCACACTGAATCTGTTTCCACACTCACAATTTCTCCTTATAAGAAAATAGATTTTTCAGTCTTGATTATAGATTAATATAAAAAGGAGTAATGAAATGATGAGTCTTGAGAGTTCATATGAATATGAGTCATTTAAGGATAGAAATATGAGGGAAAATGATATGCATTAAGCTTTGTTATAAACTAATAGATGTAAACTGTCCATTGCCATGTTATAGGTTAAAGGTTATTGATTGTTTCCAAAGATGGATAGATTAATTTAGCAGGATATATGAGTTAATTCTTTATTAACAGAACTTAGGTTCTTTTTCTGATTCCTTTTCTTTGTTTTGAAATGCCAGAGTTGATTTGGAAAGTGAGAAATTGTATGAAGGGGCGAAATGGAGAGAATAATTACCTAAATTAGAGTAGAGGAAAGGGGGTGACAAATTAATTGAATTAATTAATTCCACATTAATTGGGTTTAGGGATGGTTTAAGGAAACAAAGGAATTGTAGTAACTGAAGTAGTAGCTGAAATAAGGAGTTTTTGTTTGTCAAGAAAAGGATTGCTGGCCCTTTAGCCTTCTCCAGCTTGGCGGAACTTAACCCCCCCTCCACATTTCCCCAGAAAACCTAATATTTAAGGATACCTCACCCTCTCAAGAGCCAAAGCTTAGTCAGAAGGAGTTTCCGAGACTCCAGATTTCAAGGCCACCAGAAGGCCTCCCTTCTTCCTAACACAGCAGGCTTTATGATTCTACCAAGCCCAAAGTTGTCCAGAAGTGAATCAAAAATCCCCCTGGTTATTCCTTGTCTGTTCCCTTGACATAACCGTAGGGATACTCACTCTCAGCCAGCTCACTTGGGAAGGAAATATGCTTTTGGGATCCTCTTGAGGAGCTTTCCAGCCTTTTTTTGGATTCAAGTCCATTGTCTGTTTCCATCGTAGTCTCTCTTATACCTTGTGTTTCTTTCACAGAGAGAGGAAGAGAGAGAGAGAGAGAGAAAGTGATCATTCTTATCTGGGGAAGGAAAGAAATTCAAGAGTAGATATTTTTCTGGAAGAAGAAGAGGAAGAGGAGATTGGATTTATACACCGCCCTTCACTACTCAAAGGAGTCTCAGAGCGGCTTACAAACTCCTTTCCCTTCCCCTCCCCACAACAGACACCCTGTGAGGTAGGTGGGCTGAGAGAGCTCTGACAGAAACTGCTCTTTTTCCAGAACAGCTCTCATCAGAGCTACTGCTTGCCCAAGGTCATCCAGCCAGGTGCAAGTGGAGGAATGGGGAATCAAACCCAGTTCTCCCAGATTAGAGTCCACACACTTAACCACTACACCAAACTGGAAGGAAGAAAGGTCACAATCCCTAACAGTATAAGGGGAATGCATCTGTGAGGCAAAACACCCTAGTTCCCCCAAGGGGTTAAGGTGGCCTGTCTGACTTGCAGGTGTTCCTTATTCGAGTCTCCATGCAGCTCACATCCTTAATTTTTCAAGCCAGACTCTAGAATGTGGTCATTGGTTAATCGTGACAACCTATATTCAGTTGTATAACCAGGAGGGAGGGGGGATTAGGAGGGTGCTGACAGCCTCTGGAAAAGGCAGGACCCTTCATTGGGTCGTTAGGACCACCTAAGGTGGCGGGGAGTCGTGTTGGTCTGAATTCACAGAATAAAGTTAGAGTCCAATGGCACCTTTGAAACCAACGACCCCAGAGAGGCAAAAAGTGTAATGCAGAGGGAAACTAGGCTGACTCCGTGATCATGCCATGCTGTTACACCTTGCTAGTTTCTTGCTGAATACAGCCTTCCCCTGGCCTCCCAGCTCTGGCATTCCTTTGGAGGTCTCCCTTCCAAGTATTTGCCAGAGTCAACCCTCTTAACTGATGAGATCTGATGAGAAAGGGCTCGCCTGGACTACCCAGGTCAGGGCGACAGGTAGCTTTCCTTGATTTTCTTTTGCTAAGCAGCAGAAACTGGGCTGTTTAGAGCCGTCTTATTTTTAAATCCTTAAGAAAGCTTGATATGTTTTAAAGGGGGTAATGCTTTACTTATGTGCCCTCTGCTCGTGAACCCACTGAACGAAGTGCTGGTTAGGTACAAAGAGTTGTGACCCGGGGGAGACCCAGGCTTTGGTTCTTGACAGGGTCATTTCCAGATCACAGGCAGACTGGATGTTTGTAACCCCATCCAGGGGGTCGATGTGTTGTAAAGGTGGCAACAGAAAAATGAGGATCTGGCCCCTTCCAGAGTCTTTCTGAGGGCCTCTCATCCCGCCTTTGCCTCAGGTGCAGAGACACCTTCTCTGGCTCGGGTAACAGCCACAACAACGGCCTCAGTGGCCCCTGGGCAAGGACGCACACATGAACACAGGAAGCGGCTCTCCAGGGTCTCAGGCAGAGCTCTTTCACATCACCTCCTACCTGATCCTTTTAACTGGAGATGCTGCCAGGGTTTCAACCGGGGACCTTCCGCATGCCAAAGAAGATGTTCTGCCAGTGAGCCACAACCCCGCCCCAAATAGCAGGACAGGCCTCAGAATGGTGCATTTTGACCCCAAAAGAAAAAGCAGATTCCCTCCTCAGAGATAATGCCAGGTAGAGACTGCACCCTGGAAATGAGTAGTCTGGGAAGG